TATAAGTGGATAATTAAACTATTTAAAAGTTCAGCGTACGTCGAAAAATGCCGCGCGCCTACTTTTGCGGAAACAAAAAAGTAGAGCAAATGAGATAATAGACTTACGCATGATTTTTCAAGATAATGCACGATTCAATTTTTAAATGCTTTTTGATGAACAGAAGGAAAAAGAGATTGAACCATTGTATATTTTTAAGTGTTTTGGAATGATAAAATAGTTAATTGTTTGGTCGATTTTTCAAAAATTTAAATGTTCGATTTCACAAAAGGATTGACAAATAGATAATTCCCCGAGTGATTAACACGCGCGTCATTCCATTATTTAGGCGTGCACAGTACCCTCCCTAATCCGATTTCTCTATAAAAAGGAGAGCGATATAATAAAACTCTCGACATGACTAGCCATGAGAAAACTATAAAAAATGTTAAGCGCTTTTAGTCCAGGACAAATCACCCGTCCAGCACAAAAAAACAGCAGTAGCCCTAAACAGACTGTATACGCCTTTGTCAGTGCGTGTGCGTATATAGCTCGACCTCGTTATTCGAGAGGGAAGAAAGGGCTCGAGTCTTTGTATAAGGCGACACGACGCGCTTCCTTGTCTTTTAGCTACAATCGATCCTTCAAAAATTAGGAGTTGAGTTTCAAGCTGCGGGAGGATTCGGCATTAGACGTCGCGCACTTTTTGATCTAGTCTACCCTGTCATCATTGCATTATTCTTCACTGTTGTCATTGCCAATCAAGATTCAATAGAGTGAGTCAATTAATTAGACGCGTCTATTGTATGATTGGATTGTTTCCTAAACAGTTATAGCCTTTGATGACGATCACACTCGGGGAAACGTACAATTTGGCATACTGATCCTCTGCCTTCTGCGCTAGGTTTTTTTTTCCAGGGAAAAACTTTTCCCTCTCGTAAATTTTGGAAAGAAAGAGAGAGAGAGAGAGAGACGCCGTTTTGCCGCGCGCGAAGAACAAAAGAAGAACGCGCCTATGATTTATGTAGGCGGGAAGCGCAGGTGCCGCCGGCAATCTTCCGGCTGCTGCTACTTCTGCTGACCAGCGATTTTTCGAGTATTTACGATAAGTGGCGAGAGACGCCTTGCGGCTTTTGTCAGATGAAATTGCAGGTTCGGATACACGCTTTTTCAATTGAGCGATCATTGTTTTTGGCTTTTTACTACCAGTCGTTGACGCGTCAACGTTTTTTCCTAACAGATAGATTTATCCCGTTTTCACAATCTTGATGCTAAGGGCTAAATGGATTTTCGTCAGTATATAGTTTCAATGCTCCCAAAGAATAACAGACAATTTTTTTTGTGGAGAAAGTTTTGAAATTAATTGTGTAATCGAATTTATTGTCCGTAAATACTTCTTTTATTATTAATTTTTCTGGTTTATTTCATTTGTCTTAAGATGACAATCGAAAAATTGTTTTACTTGTCCAATTTAAGTCGTCGAGCATTTTAAATATAACACTCGCTTAGAATCAGTTTCGAATAATATTATTGCTTCCAGACGAAGGCAATAAGTTATATTAATTTTCTCAAGCCTTGTATGAATTTCCGACATCTACTTGTCAACGAAAAAGTTCATTTTTCTTTTAAAAATATCGGTCAATTCCTCAAACATTAATAACTCAAGATCAAATGGTACAGAGCAATCTGTCAACATTAAGTCCACTGAAAACGCCGATGTACTCGTGAATAGTAACGAACTATTTATTGAAAAACCAATCAATCAACAAAAAAACGCAAAGAAGCTCACGGAATTTCCGTAGGATTGGAAAAAAGTGGCGTTTGCCTATTAATCAACTAATAGACACACGACAAACTCCCTTAAAAAGGAACCGTCAAGTCAATTCATCTGCGAGAGAAACACGTCTGCATCGTTAAACGGAACGGAGAGATTCGGATGAGCGATAGGCGCTTCGTGTTTCGCCAACGATCAAACGCACCGAACGGTCACCCTTCACGGAAACACGCGACACAAGCGCACCAGGGAAAGCTGATAAGAGAGAAACCAAAGGTACAACGGCCAAACGCGAGAGGCGCCTGTTGTGCTCGTTTATTGTTCTCGGACGTTTTTTTTTGTCTTAGTGTCGAAAACTTGAAGCAGGTGTTGTGTGGAATATTTTTTCTATATAATAAGAATTATTGGCTGCCAAAGGGTACATAACTGAGTAAATGCGCGCCGGAAGATCTGAAATTATTTCTGTGCTCGCCTTATTCTTATTATGTTAAAAAAACGATTGACATTATTTATGATAGGGACGAAATGTAAAGAACAAATTGTCAAACATAAAATTGAAATGTAATCGATCGAAAATAACGATTTTAGAGTTGGAAAGGAGGTAGATTTTTCCAAGAGATAAAGTAAAAAAGTCCGTCGGAAATCCGGTAAAAAATAAGACAGAGAGAGAGAGAGAGACAGAGAGAGAGAGAGAGAGAGAGAGAGAGAGAGAGCGAACAGGGCCGCAGCAGCAAAGTCTAGTCGAAGAATTCCAAAGTGTCGAAGCGTAATTGCCAAAGCATGAAACCTCGAGGTCCATCCTCCGTGATTAAACATTCAGAGTAAGAGGAGGGACGATAGATATCTGCGCGCGCGTTGTATCACTGGTCTTTCCTTGACTATTGCTCTCCAAAAACAAACTAAAACAATGAACGAGAATTCGTTATTTTGCGCTCGGTCAGCTGCTCCATTAAGCAACGAAGAAGTTTCGTCGATTGGTGATTAATTATCACGAGCTTGCGCGCGCGCGCTGGCGTGTCTGTCCCCTTCATGCGGTGGTTCGTCTGTTTTGTTTCTGTTACACTTTCCAAATTCGGCCCGTTGCGCTCGGGATATATTTTTGAAATATGGTGGATTTTTTCGCTTGCTTGGAATGTTAAACATCCAAGTGTTTCCGCTTCTATTTTCAAAGACCTTTTTCGTTCTTTTTCTCAGTTTGATTTATTAATTGAAACGTGCGTTTGAGCTAATTTACTTGATTTGCGTGGTAAATTATAACGCTTACGCGAGATTATCCTGCATCAATTTGGCAAATACTTTCTACTTTTTGAATTCAAGTATAATTTATTCTTCAATGTGAAGTGGCTCGATGAATTTCAAAGGTGTGAGTACCGAATTTCGAATGAACTATCCACTTTTGTAAACTCATCGACAACTCATACAAATCCACTTTGGTTTATAAAACTCTTCCATTGATCAAAGTAATCGTCGGCATTGAAAACAACAACAGTAACAACAACGACACTACCGCAGGCACGAGGCGGCGCCAATTAAATGACGCGCGTGGGCGTCTCGCAAGTATCTATAGACAGCAGCAGACAGCAGCAGCCATTAAATAAATACGCGTGCCATGCACACGCACGCATTTACGCAACCCCGCTCTCTCGGCTCGGTTGCTTGCCTGCTCAACGATAATCATATGCACTATCACTTTTCGACGAGGAATGCGCGAGCTGCTTGCGTCCGAATTAATTGTCATCGACTCGGCACAGTTTATGTCTCTCGTAGAGGTGTGATAATTACAATCTTTGGTAATCGCTTCTCGCTTTTTTTCTCCGTTCAAATTTTTTTTCTCAGCTTATATGAAGATTCGTGTTGTAACATTTCTGATAATCACTACGAGTGTACTACAAGGTTTCTCTTTTATCGTACTAGGTGGCCATTTGATAATAGAAGAGATGCTTTTGAGCGAACTTGTAATTTCTTAAATCCTAAAAATTTGGTTTAATTTCTACATTTGTTAGATTACATATTTTGTTTTTTAATTTATCTTTATTCTTTTCGACATAGCAAGATGTATGAAATCAATGTACAAGCAATTATATTCTCGACATTCAACAAAAATAATAATATTCACAATTGTTGAAACAAGCACTACTGCTGCAATCACAAAATAACGTTATTGCTCCATTTTCTCTTTCCGAATAATATCAAGTCCCACTCAATATACAAGCACGCGTGGCGTGTGTCCCGCAGCTGTTGTTGACTCGCTCGACGACGCGGAAAGCTCGTTGCACGAGATTGCCGCTTATCGCTCTCTCAGCGGTGGGGTCTCTCACTTTCTTTCTCTCTCTCTCTCTCTCTCTCTCTCTCTCTCTCTCTCTCTCTCTCTCTCTCTCTCTCTCTTTCTCTCTCTCTCTCGTTCGTGAGATATAGCCATACATTGGTCTGGACCACGAATTTTAAACTGATATTTACGCTAGCCACTTTGTATTTTGAGTTCGTAAAAATCGATTAAGAATACAGAAGAAGAATCGCAAGAGAAAAGGGCCTCGCTACTGTATAAATCAAACGTTTGTTTTACATTTAGCGCGTGTATTACGGTTAGCTGATTGTACCATATAGGAACAGAAAAAACTGACCCTGGCTAGATAATTTAATCTCTATGCTTTGGCGATCCCTTACACGAAATCGTTGTGTACATTTTGTGTAACATCTTTCTAGCAAATAAATAATAATAAGGTAGGAATTCAAAGAGAAATGACATAGATAAAAATTAATCGATTAAGAGAGAAGCAAAAAGAGAAAAGAATGTACTCCGTTTACGAGATAGAACACGTGGATCGCCAGGTACTCGCTTGGATTTCGCGGGTTTCACTGCAGTTGTCGTTACATTAAATTTCATCATTCGATACAGAAAAGTTCCCCGATGCAATGAGTTGTACTCGCACACACACCGATGACACTCGAAAATTGCCTCGTCACACCTGAGCCAAACAAACAATCACGGCAATTATTATCTGCGAAAGTGTGTCTCGCTGGAATCGGAGAGTCAGTTGGTCGTCAGTATTATCGTCGTCGTCGCGCCACGCGTTTGTAAAATGAGTGCGTGCACCGCGAGTACAGCAGCGAGCAGCGCCACTGCTCGAAGAAAGAGAGAGAGAGAGAGAGAGAGAGAGAGAGTTCGTGGTAGAGGGGAGCGTTAGCGCGCGCGCTTCTTTCTTCGCTTGGCTGGTTAGTAGTAGTTGCTCGTGGCGGTGGTGGGGATTCGGTGTCGTAGCGTGGAGGCGCAGGTAGGCCGGCAAGCTACCTGGTAGAGGCAGTCGCGCGCGCGCCAGCGTCTAGTGTGGAGTTTGGAGGTTTTACTTTTGGCCGCTTCGAGATTTCCGGAAAGCAACGAGGAGTCAACCCTTCGCCAGAAAAGGCTCAGACAAGTGTGCGAAACGAAAAACAAGTACAATGATGAAGGATACTGACGGACGTCGTTACAAGTGTTGTACTGTTCGTCCACGTTGTTACGGCGTTTGCAATAGTGTGAGAGTGTGAAAAAGAAAGCGCCAGGAAAAACCGGGGAAAATCGAAAAGTGTTGAATTCGCGAATATAAAGTGCGAAATTTCACCGATTACCAATAATTGGCAAAAAAATAAATAGTGAGAGTTCGGCAGAGGGTGAAGTGATGCTGACGCGTGGATTTTGAAAGCAGCTCCGAAGGCCAGCCCGACGCAATGCGTCGACGCTGCTGACGCAACGCGCCTGGATGCGTCTCACTTTAAGCACGTGAGTACACCAAGTTTTTGCCAAAGAAAACTAGCAATTTGAAAGGGTGCAGGATGCGCGCGCGCGCTTCAGAACCACGGGGGGAGAGCGCTAACTTGGCCGTACGGGCTTAGGGTGCTTTGTGTAAGTGAGACCATTATTCGTATCGCACTGCGTGCATACGGAGATTAGAAAAATGTCATGCGTCGGGCGGCGGGTTCTGCGGACTAAAAATTACACTCGTGTCGCGCGCGTGCAAGCAAGAGTTAGTGAAATTAAAGCCGCTAATTTGTCCCTACGTGCAGCTCGCCCGAGGAAACGAAGAATGCCAAATCAATCTTTCACGAGATTATAATTCGCACAATGAAATCGAGTGCGGTTATTTCGGGGTGTAGTTAACGAAAATATCGGGGGGGGGGGGGGCACTGAAAAATAGAGAGCGGTCGGGAAGGACAGCAGAGAGAAGCCGAAACTCTATTATAACGATCGAAAAAAGAATTGCGGCGTGAAACGGGCATTCTCGCACCGTATAGCCGTTCATTTGTCATCCCTGGCTTACAGAGACTGGATCCACGATAATTCAAGTGTACACAGACGTCTTTGTGCGCAATCCCCCAAACGAAAAAATAAGGTACGTTTGCACCCCTCTCTCGCGTGGCCTAAATGTACCTCGCATGTTTTTTCCTTTTCGGCTCTTTGTCGTCGGAAATCGATTGTGAAATTTTTCCTCGTATCATCATTGAATTAATCAGTGTGAGCGTACTACGATTACGCAAGAAGAGTCTCGGTCTGTCTGTCGTCGACGAAGAAAAAAGCAACCGTGCATAATCGATTGTTCGACTATATATACTTAGGCTATCGGCACGACAAATTGAAAAGCGTCGTCGAACTGTTTGACACTCGGACGATAAGTGATGCGGGTGACAGACTGAGAGATTCGGGATTTCGTTTGGATTCGTCTGCATTGATTTTAAGTAATCAAAATCGACTTTTCCGAAAATGTAATTCAGCAGCGGTCCGTTTTACGAGTGCACGTTTCCCCACTCGCCTTGCCATCATTGGCCACGCGGTATTTTAATTGCGCGGAGCGATTATCGAAAATATCACTGGCGTGCTGTTTTTCTGCCATCGGTGCGTGCGCGCGCGTGTGGACCAATTACTTGTGTATTTCCTCGAGAGAAGCTTTTATCTGGCTATTGGTTTTTTTCTTTCCTTTCCTTTCTGTCGTTTCAGCTACCGCGCCGCTTGCCGTCGAACGAGAAAAAAAGTCGCGCGAACGTTCAACAAAGTCTAGAAAAAAAAGAAATATCCAGATTCGCGCGTTATCTTAATATCCTAGATGGGTTTGATTTCTGTCGGTGCCGTATTTTCATAAAAAGGCCGTGGATGGCGCTTGGCCCACAGCCGATAAATCCAGCAATTTTTTCAATTAACTTGAGTACGAGCCAGGGACGCGTGCGACGAAATTTCATTGTTTACAATGCGCCCGATTGATAAAAACCGATTGCGCGAAGCCCGCGGGATTTTTGTCAAATTAACCGACGATACCACTGTCCCCTCGCAAAAAGCTGCTGGAACCGCGTCGCGATCAATAAATTTTCCGCGTAAACGGCTAAAATTGAAGTTAATGTCGAGACAGATAACTTTGAGAAATCCGTGATAATTTAAATAGAATGTTTACGCCTTTTCATATATAAAATTATCATTACTCAAATCCGACAGACCGAGAAAGAATGTTATCTCGGTAGTTGGAAAATTGTACATCAGGCACTGCCGACAGAAAGAATGTCGAGTGAATTTATCTCGCGGGCACGCGATAATTGACGAAAAATGCGACAAGTGGTTTATAAGTTTGTCGCGCGCGCGGCGTTTCTTGGGATATAGATATACACACACAGACACACACACACACACACACACACACACACACACACACACACACACACACACGCACACCTTCGGGTATATATTATGTGACTCGCATGACCACAATAATTTTTCACTTTATTCCACTGTACTATGTGCCACATCCAATTTCGAGGCTACTACTTTATGTAAGGATCACGGAAAACGACTGCTTAAAACTATCGTTGCGGTATTAGCGATTTTCAAGGAGCAAAGGAGAAGTTGAGTTTATTTTATACATATTTATATTTAGATATGTATTATCACGCTACTTTCTGCGAACGCGACAAAAAAATGGCCATTCATTCACACACGATCGTAAGAAGTAGCATCGATAAAGGAAAGCTCCATCGCGCACACTGAGCATTGAAAAGAAAAAAAAAGCTCATTATCAATTGGAGGGTGTGTGCAGCTCCTTCTCGGCGATATAATCGTCAAAACACGTGGCGTCTAGATTTCCACTGGAGAAAATCCGAGCCTTATCTCTGGCGTTGGCGTAAGCAGGTGGCATACGCAGTGCATGCCTTTAGCCTGATTGTTTTCGCAGCCATTAGCATAAAGGAACGTTATCGCTGTGCTTAGCCGCGCATCTTTGCAATTGCTGATAACGCTCGCTCCTTCCTAGCCCCGCACAATTTTCGAGAATAACAACAATCGTGAGAACTCGCGTGCACATGTAACTCGCGCAGCTTTTGCAACGACGATCATTACTCTCGTTACTCGCTCATTAAAGCCCCGCGCGCGGCTAAAAATCGCAAAATCCTCGACGTAAATAAATTGCGCGCGCGCATAGGCATCAGTCAATGCAACGCGCTCTCGTAACCGGCAAGTATCTCTCTCTTTCTCTCTCTTTCGCGAGTCATTAATTGAGTTTACGCGTATATATGCCAGTGCATCATTTTTTTTACGTGCGTGATTTGATACATTTTGCATTGGCCGAGCAAAGAATAAACAAGTAGTGCGTTCAATTAAACGATAAATTACGCGGTTGAAAAGAAATAAACTCACAAATGGCGGTCTTTAACACAAGATTCATTATTTTTCAAAGTTAATTGATAATCATCCGTGACAAACAATATATAAATTACCGAGATTTATTCTTTTTTTTAACGTAATCACGCTGTATAATCATCGATACATACTTCCTTTCCAATTACATCTCGCGACAGATCATATATTGACTTTTAGGCTCTCGTTGAAATTCTCATGCGCGCAATGCATCAAATATCAGTGTCACTAATCTGAATTCCATCAAAGTTCACGATTAACAAAAAGTAAAAAAAAATGAAGCGAGACTATCTTCTTCTTCGTCGTCGTCGTGGTCGTGGTCGTCTCCGTCGTCGTCGTCGTCGTCGTCGTCGTCATCGTCATCGATGGCTAATGGATCGAGCGAGTGAGTAAATATTGTAGATCGTCCCATGTGCTAATATGAATAACAAGCGAGACACAGGAAAGATTTTAAGCTTGGCTTCTTGCGACATTACATACATACCCGCGAAAAAAAAGGATGCAACGAGGTCAAAGAAAAAAGTAAAGAATGTAACGATATAGATTCGATATATAACGAAGCCTTAAAGACACAGCAGCAGATATCAATCCGTGACACAGCCCGATAATGTCATTACAGCAACCAAGGTTACCTGGTTTCTCGATGATTGGATTGCCCTCGCCCGCGACGACCAGACGACCAACAACGACGAGGTGACTTTTTCGTCGCGAGCGGTTATAAACTTCGATGTCTCCTGGTATAATTGAATCTGCGAAATACACATCGATTCGATATTTCATATGCATTCTACAATATTAAACGAAATTTTTTTGTAACGATTGTGTAATGTAACATTCGTAAGATATTTAACGTTTCAATCGATTTTTCCAGATACAAATGACGTAAAATTTAATCAAAATATATAACATCGTCCCTCGTAACTAATCGGGTTTAAGCAAGCAGAACACCTATATATTTTATATATGAAGGCTTCGTCGGTCACGTAGCCCGTCGACTTGTTATAAGTCGTTAAAATCAATCTTTAAGAAATTTAATTAGGCATAAATGTCATCTCCCCGTGTTATCTTTATTATATTCCACATTATTTTCTCTCACTCACTCTCTCTTTCTCTCTGTCGCTCTCGAGGTAGACAGCCACTTAACAATTGAGTTGACCGAAGATCGCGCTCAATTAACTTTTGATTCTGCAAAGGACATAAACAGGCGAATAAGGAGGAAGCTTGAATAAAAAAGTAACATTTCAATAAATCCGTGGCGCGGGGGCGCGTCCGAATAATTGTCCGAGAAATTTAAAGGACGGCGATGCTCCTCGCAAAAATTTACAGCGATGACTTTCCAACTCTATAATACCCCAAAAAGAGTAAGCGTTCCAACTGGCGCGCAGCCTCTCAAACTTTTCGCATGCTTTCTCAGGTAGCTTGCTGTGAATATTTACTGTTAATCCGCGACTCTGTTTTTGAAAATTAAATTTTTCGTGAAATTCCCCGGCGAAAGAGCTGTAAGTGATCGTTTGTGTTGTGTGTGTGTGTGTGTGTGTGTGTGTGTGTGTGTGTGTGTGTGCGTGTGTGTGTGTGTGTGTGTGTGTGTGTGTGTATAGGTATATCATTCGACTGTGGCAATGAAATCTTTCAGAATTAGTAACTTTCGACATTTATTATAATCGCTTTGTGTAATAAACGTTATGTGATCACGAAAAGTAATTATGTATTTTCATTTGATGCTACGTAATTAGTTTGGAAGAACTGAACGTTTATCAAAAAGTATAACTTAATCGTCAAACAAAAAAAAAATCGGTATTCTCTGGCGTGCAGCATGATTAACAGCGAAAAAATGTAATGTACAGTAAAGTAGTTCTCCGCTAACTATACGCGCATATGTATATGAATCATTGGCGCAACTCCCACGATCGTTTGGACCGATATCTCAACTAAGTGAGTGAAAGAGAGAGCAAATGAGGTACAATCCCCCATAAAGCATAAAGCGCACACGTGACTCTCGCAAGTCCACTTAGCGCCTATCGGGCGCGCTTAATTGGCCGAATTATCCGATAGTCGCGCGCTCTCGCGCAATTGAGACTGCAAGCGCGGTGGTCGCGCTCGCGCCCAGA